CACACACTCACACACACACACACATACACACTCCCCTCCAACTCTCGTGTGTAGCTTCAACAGCACAAAGCTGCCCAGAATGGTCCAAAAATGTCATGTACTGCTGCTAATGAGCAGCGTGTGTGTGTGTGTGCGTGTGTGTGTGTGTAAAGCTGAGAGGAGTTTAGAGCGAGAGAGAAGGAGCTCACACACACACACACACACACGCTGACATTTAGTGGAAAAGTAGACTAATTTTGTTTCAGTGTCTGGTCATCAGACTGACCAGTCCTCTCTCTCTCTCTCTCTCTCCCTCACCCTTCCTCCCTCGTCCTTCCTTCCTTCTCTCTCTCTAACTCACACACACACATATTGCACTTTAACCCTTTCTCTTCATTTCAAGTTCAGTTTTTATCCCTGTAGCTTCTTGTCGCTGTAGCTAACATCCGACACTGAAAACTTTTAAGAAAAAGAAAAAAGAAGAAAATGTTTTTCTTAATGGACTAAAAAAAACACCATCATATAAGAATTAGTCGTAACTAGAGATAGATAGATATTAGCATGATTGATGTAATATCCGTAAGAATCGTTATCGTTTTTTTCCTCCGATAATGAAAAGTTTTGGGGGAAAATGGCTGTATATACAAGTGGGAGTCACTAGATGGCAGCATTTCAGCTCATTTTATTAATCTATTTTAATAATCAGGGGATTGTATGGAGAATGTTGGTGTCAGGAACTCATACAGTGGTTTGAACAGATTGATGTCGTTGATGTCGTTGATTTCGTTAATATCGTTAAAATTGTTGATTTTCTTGATGTCGTTGATGTCGTTGATGTCGTTGATGTCGTTAATATCCGACATCCGTAGTCATCACTGTAGCAGCGATCATCAAACGTCAAAACATTTTAGTTTTATCATAAAAAAAGCGACCTGATGTTAGAGAGACCTGGAAACAACAGCTCATCGAATCAATGAGGAATTATAACATTGTGCATCTGTTTTCTCTGGTGTCACCCCCCTCTTCCTCCCCCTCCCCCTCCTCCTCCCTCACCCTTATATCTCCCCCCCTACACACACACACACACACACAAACAGGTGCTAACTGAGCGTATAATTAAATAAACAGCAGTAATGTTCAGACTCCACCGTCGTGATCTGCTCAGTGTCGTCCACCTGTCTGTTCCACGCCGCGGTTTCACCTCAACACACACACACACACACACACACACACTCAGAAAAGAAAACCTCCTGCCACCTGCCCTGTTCTTTACCCATTTGCTTTGTCTGCCCTCATTAAAAGTGACGGGTGAAAATCACACACGTACACACACACTGACACACACACACGTGTTAATACACACACATCAAATCACCGTCATATTAGTGAAATATTAATATGAGCTCGGCTGCTTGATCTCCTCCTCTCATTTGTGTCGCAGCTGTTTGTGTGTGTGTTTGTGTGTGTGTGTGTGTGTGTGTGTGTGTGTACATACAGGCAAAGATGTCAAAATTCCTTTCCAGTTTTTTTCCAGTTGGTGCTCCTGCCTTACATCAACAGGGTCACCTGTTTGAGTCCAAGCCCCGACCTCACATATATTTGTATAAATATACATATATGTATATTTATATATATATACATATATATGTATAAATACACATATATAAATATACACATATATATATACATATACTGTATGTGTGTATATATGTATATGTGTGTGTATTAGGGATGTAAGGAAATATCGATACATTTTAAGAAAAAACTCAAATATATCGTCGTGTTTATAGTATCGCAATATATTGCAATATATCGTAGCGTTGTCCCTGTATCGTGATGCGTTATCGTATCGCCAGATTCTCGCCAAAACACACCCCTGTCATTTATACCAGGGAATCAATGCCATGTAGTTTGGCGACAGACGTTGTTGTGACGCTGATGCTAATTAGGTTAGCACGTGTGCTAACAGCACATGAACAGCGTTCAGTTCCGGAGACATTTTTTTTTTCCCGGTGCCTGTATTTGTGAAATAATTTGAAAAAAGACCACAGTGTGAAAAGTCATGTTTACTGCAGCCTCTCCTCCTCACCCTCCTCCCTCCTCCTTCCTCCTACACCACCTGCTGCTGCTGCCGCTGATGTTTACTTCTCTATTAGAATCTTTCTATATTGAACAGCCATGACCTTTGCCCCTCACTTGCCACCCTGGTGGACGCGTATGCAAAGAAGCTGTGTGTATACACCCGTCCAGCCCCGGCCTTTTGAGGTGAATGGAATAATTTAGTTTCAGCAGTTTGTCCTGAACTCTGGGTCTGGATCCAGGGCGACTTACTGTATTAACATTCTGACTTACACATCCGTCTGATATCAGTCTCTGGTGCTAATTGTTCGTGCGTGACATTTCTTGATTTTATTTAAAAAAACATTTTCAATCCAAGGCAAATCAGAAGCAATTAAACAGCTCGACGCAGAGTTTTGTCTCTGAGGTAAAAACCACCACTAGCCCCGTAGTCTGTCGGCAGTAACTGACTCACAGTAAAGCGTAGAAATACACTGATTGTAATTTTATCGGACAATTCGGATTTCTGATATTTTGCTAATCTTAATCTGTGTGATGTGCTGCTGGAGTTTGTGAAATGCTTCTGCTGAAAGAGAGAAAGAGGGAGAGAGAGAAAGAGGGGGAGACAGGTGAAGGAAAGTAAGAGAGATTAGTGAGAAGGTTGAAGAAAACGGGGGGGAGAGCCTGGAGGACGGGGTGGAGGGAGACGGATGTGAAGCCCCACGGAGGAGAAGCACAGTTAAAGAAGACAAAGCATTATTGCTGCTTGGTTACACAGGGACAAGTGTGGGGAGGTGGGGGTGTCTGTGTTGTCCCCCCCCCCTCACTCACGCACAAATACACACCGGGGGCAGAGGGGACGCCTGTGTGGGCACCAAGGTCTTTCCTCTCCCTAAATTAAAACCATTAATAACCAACCGGGAGACGAGGGAGAGGAGGGAGGGAGGAGGGAGAGAGGGAGGGAGGTGTGAATAAGAGAGAGGAAATGGTGTTTGGGGGAGATTTAGAGGAAAAGTCCGGTGAACCTGATGCTAACGGATAGAACCTGGTTCAACTTTCACACCTTTTTCTACCGACCATTTATTTCACTTGTCCGTTCCGTTGTTTAAGTTCACGATTTTATGTCATTTTTAAAACTTTTTTGCCGAATTCTTACGTCTCACTTCAAAGACAAAAAATACTTCAAAATGTAGTTACTTTTTGGAGTTTGTTTTTATAATTTTAACTTTTGTCTGTGTCATCTATTTACTAAGGATGTCCCCACTTTTTACCGATATCTGATATGCCAATCCCACTTTTTACCGATATCTGATATGCCAATATATAATTTTCCGATATGATAGGTGCCGTCTGCTCACGCCTCCAGGGGGCAGCCTAATTTTCCGATATGATAGTTGATTGTATGATTGTCTGCTCACGCCTCCAGGGGGCAGCCTGTTGCAGCAGATCTGCTATTAACACAAAGAAGTGTTGGCTTCAAAAATTATTTTTACCATTATAATTATGAAGCTAACGCTATAACGATTGTAACCCGTAGCAACGTCCAAGCCTAAAATGAACCAGGAACATCGTCAGCGTTCGATACCTAGCCTAGTCACCGATATTTTTTTAGTCATGTCTCATTGGCCAATGAAAAGCCCGGCGTGTACGAGCCCCGTGAGACGCGCTGGTCCTTGACTTGGGGACAAAGCTGTTGATGTCCCTCTGAGGCGTTCTCTGGTGAATGAGGTTCTAACAGTTATTGAAAAGCCTGTATGTAGTCTATTAAAGAGAAAGCCTTTTCTCACATCTCCCTCACTCTCTCCCTCTCTCTCTCTCTCTTTTTATCCGAGGTGCCATCTCTCCCGTCTCCCTCTCCAACACTTTCTTGCTCTTTTGTCCCTCCTCCACTCCTCCTCTGTCCTTGAGCAGAGAGACCCGTATTGGTTTGACACGAACATTTTTTTCTTCTTCTTCTTTTCAGTACAAAACTCACTCTGCTTCTGTGTGTGTGTGTGTGCTGATGAAAACCCAGCGAGCTGACTCAAGGCTGGCGCTACGAAAGCGGTGAACTATCTGGCAGATTTCAATGAACATAAATGAACACGTGAACACAGGACGGGGGGGAAGAAAGAGTGATGTGGTGAACCAACAGTTGCTAGGCAATTCCACTAACCTTGATGGGACGGAGAGACGTGGCTCTCTCCTCATCAGAACCACAGCCATTGGCTGCACCTGAACTGCTAATTACTGCGCAAAGAGACGCCATGTTGATGTTAGCCGGGGAACAAGTTTGACTGAAAAGTTTTTCCTCGTTTGAAAAAATGTCGTCTAGTGTCGACGTTTAGGCGCTTTGAGTTCATTGGATGTTTTAAATATAAGCCCCGCCCAGCAGTGTTGGTTAGGTTTTTATTATAGGGCTGTCAGAAATATTTATATATTTGAAATCCAGTTAATTTCAGGATATCTTTGGGTTAATTATGATAAATCACAATTCACAATTAATCATTATTAATTATGATTAATTGCATTTGTTGACAATTTATCATTATGAATTATGATTAAATGTTATTATACACGATTAATCAGTATTAATTATGATTAACAATTAGATTTATCATGATTAATTGATATAAATCAACACCCCAAGTATGACAAAAATTTACTTTATTAACTAATTTACTAACTGAAACAGAAGGACCAGTATCAGCAGGTAGGTGTCAGTGTTTCTCACCTGTTTTTTCTTTGACTAATCCAAATGATGGAATTGTTAAGATGACAGAAAATTGAAGAAAAGCTTAATTTAATTTATTTCTGAAATCATAAGAGCGTGTGAGACTATGACACATTTGGAATCTGATGAACCCCTCGTACCACTAGGGATACATTTACCATGGTTTGAGAACCACTGAGTCTTTGAATGCGTCTAGTCCTTACTTGGAGGAAAATGAAATAACAGGCGGCGTCATGTCCTCTGCTCTCAGGAAACCAGGATATCAAAGGTCAAGGCAGAGGTCAAAGGTCACCGCCTGGTTGACGGACGCCGGGGTTATTCTGCAGAAGAAGAGCGTGCTGAGTCGGCAGAAGTGGAGAACCTCGTCTGACGTGAGTGATGAAGTGATCGGGAGGCTGAAGCTGCAGAGACACGTCTGAGGCGGCGTCGGATTAGCGTTAGCCTTGTGTCCTCTTTGTTTAGCGGTGAAACGCCGAGCTGCCGCGTATGTAATTGGGCTATTAACCGTTTAATACACACCCGAGTGCCGTCCTTTAATTGCTGGTGGCGTTTCCCGCCCCAGTGGTGAGCCGCTGATCGCTGCACTCATCCCTTCTATTAGATCTAATTAAATTAGCCTCGACGTTCTGCATCTACGCCGATGATGTGACGCAAGAAAACGTTTTCACAATCAGCCGCGTTAGAAAAAAAAAAGGAGAAAAAGTGAAGCCGCTCAGAGATAATGAGGCACACACACACACACACACACACACACACATGGACTCAAACGCAGGTTTTTTCTTTTCATGTCAGTCAGAAAATAATATGCCCACTTTACAATAAATGTGTGTGTGCGTTTCATCTCTGTGTGACTGTGCCCCTGGTGGACACCACAGTCATTATTCTCCAGCACTTCTTTTCCCTCCTCTTCTTCTTCTTCTTCTTCTTCTTCAATCACTTCCTGGATTTTTCCGTCTTTTAGATCCACCGTCGTTACTGAAGACGTTCTTCGTAAACATCACATCCACTTCCTGTCTCTCAGCTTTGGTTCACGTCATGTTTTCTCTAGTGTCTGCAAATCGTCCAAGAATCGACTTTAGAATTTGGGAAAGTCGGCGGTGATTGTCAGATCGGTCGAAGTGGTTTGGTTTTAGTCTGAGTCGAAAGTCGAAACATCGAAAATATTTCAGTCGACTGAAAAAAAACAAAAACAACTTCTAACGTCCAAGTAAAGTTGGATTGGATATCTGTTCACATGTCCCGCCTTCTAGCTAGGAAGAGAGCTCTGATTGGTTCTCAACTTCAATTTTTATTCGCTGACTAATGTGTCACGATATTATCGGCCATCTTCAGTAAAAACTCACAGAGCTGCAAGTTCCACATAGTCTGTATCATGGGGTTTTTGTGTGTGTGTGTGTGTGTGTCTGCTCAGAGGTGAGTTGGACATGCGTCACACGTACACACACACACACACATACACACCTATGACCCGCTGCACGCCGATGAAATGTAGACGGAAGGTAATTAAACAGGGATCAGGCTGCTCTTTATCAAGGGCTCTTCACTGCTGGGCTGAATTAACCTCTGCCCACACACACACACACACACACACACACACACTGTGTTGAGTCTTAAGGATCCTCACTCTTGAGAAAAATGTGCGTTTGCATATATAATGACAGACCTTGTTGTTTGGTCCTTTATGGAACTGACAGAATGGAAGGACTTTTTACTTTACTTTAACGCCACAGTAGTTTCTCTCCCATTGGAAGTCAGTTTATTTCGTAGTGACGTCGAAGTCTGTCGTGTCAGTGATCACATGACTTCAGGGCGGTCACAGCAGGAAGCGGAATAAAATCAGAATAAATCGCAGTAGGTTACATTTCTTTGAGTGAGCATCGTTTCCATTTCATCGACGTGATATTAGCATAATTATGTAATATCTGTAAGAATCGTTATCCGTTTTTTTTTCTCCGATAATAAAACCCCGATAACACAATACCTGGGTTTCGCCAAATGAGGTGTGACCTAAAAATAGTTGGAGTGAAAGCCACTAGATGGCAGCATTGCAGCTCATTTTATTAATCTAGTTTAATAATCAGGGGATTGTATGGTTTGTACAGAAAAATAAATACCAGGCCTACATCAGTATTGGTTGATACTGATACTTCATCGGTTGACGTATTTGGACAATATCGATATATCAGATAACGTTTTACCATTTTTTACCATTATATGAAGACGTAGCAAAAACCTTGACTGACTGTTGCACTGATTGACACAAGAAAAAAAAAATCAACCAAAAACCCATAAAGACCTTGGAATTCCTGTTCCTTTCCTTCGTTCGTGACTAATGAATCGACACATTATTAATGACTCACGGTGCAAAGAAACATCCTTCGTCTCACACCTTGACCGTGTCAGGTCCTCCTGTTAGCATCTCCTTGTCCCTGCTCCCCCCCTGCCTCCCCCCTCTGCTCCTCCTCCTTTGTCTCTCCTTTGTTCTGGCTGTTGTTGCCGTGCCTCCTGCCTGGTCCAGGTCCATGTCTGGATCAGACGGAGCTGTTTTCCCTCCAGTGTCCAGCTGTTCTGCCACCTGTGGAGGTGAGGAACAGAGGGGGTGAATCATGAGCCAAAGGGAGGAGAGAGAGAGGGAGGGAGGGAGGGAGGTGGTCGAAGGGGGGAGGCAGATACAGAGACCTGGAAATAAAGGGAAAAATCTGGTAATTAAGAGCTTGAAGGAATATTTTATGTTCCCATTCATTCCAAGGGGAAAACCATGTGTTTACTGTTTGTGTGTTTGTGTGTGTGTTTACTGTTTGTGTTTGTGTGTGTGTTGTGGCCTGAAGCAGCAGATGCTGCCAGTCGTCAGGTTGACAGGACAGACCACAGGGTTTTATTTCTGACACCTTAATTAATCCTGTCCTGATTTGCAGTAAATATACTCTGAATATTGAATGTTTGAAAACAGCAGAGCTGTGGGCAACATATATGTATATATATGTAAGTATATATATACTGTATATATAATTATATATAAATATACATGTATGTATGTGTGTATGTATATAAGTGAGTTAATATATGTATATACATTAATGTTTACATATATAAAAAGTTGTATATTTGCATATATACATATATAAAAAAATGAGTACATCTCTCTATATATGTACATACAGTAGGTATATATGGTTAGATATGTATACATATAAATATTTATGTTTATATATATATTTATACATATGTTTATATATGTGTGTGTATATATATATATACACACACATATATGTGTACATACAGTATATGTGTATTTGACATTTCACATACATGGCATATAATGTGTAAAGAAAAGTCTGCCTTTTTTAAAATTTTTTTACAAAGTCGGTGGAAGTGTAAGACTGTGTGACATAGTGTTTTAAAGTCTCTTCTTCTCTGCCGACTTCAGACCGTCATGTTCTGAGGCTCTCAGTGACGCCTGCAGCCACAGCAGTAAATGTGCAGCTCAGGTCGCTGACTCTCAGGTCAGCAGGGACCGTAGCAGAACACAGTCTTGACTTTAATTGTCCAACCCATCACTTTACGGTCAGAGTTTTATGCCAGCACGCAGAGAGCACAGCTGGACGTGGTGAAAGGAGCCGAGAAGTTGGAGGTGTGGAGCACGGCGACCCGTAGCTCCTCGGCTCTCAGCTCTCTGTGGCTCAAACACCTTTTCTAGCTTTCATTAATTCCTGCAACATTTCAAAACTCCAAATAATACTACTACTACGATACGTCCACTAGGGGGCAGTGCTAAGTCTCACCAGTCCATCACAGGGCAAGTCAAGTCAGCGATCCCAGTGACACCAATCCAAGCGACATAAACGTCCTGGTTTTTGAGTAGTTCATCAATAAACTTAAA